ACAAAAAAAAAAAAAAAAAAGGCTTGAAAGAAAAAAGCTAGACAGGAAAACAGCGAAGAGCTATCTAGAAATCCTACCTCTTGGGCTCTAGGTTTTTGCTTATACAGTTTGACAACCTGTAAGTTTCAGGCCAGCCCCTCTGGGAAGTCCACCTGAAGCTCTAGATCCTGCTCTACCCTGGGTCTATGCCCTTTTCTGTCCCAGCAATGCTCACTTTGACAAACACTAGTGGCTAAGCCTGCCTTTTATCCCCATCTGGGACTAGATACTCCCTCAGGGTGTCCTCGAGGCAGGTAGCTGGGCACAGTGGAAGTGTTCAGGAGGTAACTCAAAGGCTTCCGGCGCACCAGGACTTAGTCCAAGACCTGCGGGGTGAGGGTGGGGGTGGGGGGATGGGAACAAGAGCAGAAACATCCATTGTCAAACACCTCGAAGTCCCTCCTTCCTACACCTGAGGAAAGTGCTACAACCATCTCCCTGTTTTCCCATGAGGAAATAGAGACAGCAGTGAGCTGGCTGAGATCCAGGCTTCTTCTTAGGGAGAGGATGGAATCTGAGTCAGGATCTGTAACTTGAGAACCTTTCTCTCAGACAGACTCAGATTAACCATTGCCCAACAAGTAAAGCCAGTTGATAGAGTTCCAAGGCTCAACATTTACCATCTCTCTTCATAGGAAGCTGGGGAAGTAGTAGTACTTAAAGGATTCAAAGAAAGGTAAAGCAGGGGGGATGAAGCCCCCCAGGCTGAACAATGAGACATTAAAGGACAGAGGTGCAGAGTGAGGAGAGCGGCTTGGAGAAGACACTGGGGTGGTTCACAGAGGGAGCAGTGGGGTCCAATGGGGCAGGAGGTGAACCTTCAGTGCTAGACTGAGGGCTTATGTCCCCTAAGAAGGTGACAGCCAAATTGGACACAAGGACACCAGGGTACCCTGCTGCTGCAACAATGAAGACACCTGCAGGTCAGCACCAGAGATAATTTAAATTCAAATAAGATGCTACTTTGTACCTTGACACTTTCATTTTGTGACGCTGGAGGTCTAACCCAGGGACACTCCAACACTAGGCTATGTCCCCAGCCCTTTGTAATTTTTGTACCTTTTTTTTTTTTTTTTTTTTTGTGGAACCAGGGATTGAACTCAGGCCCTTGGGCTTGCCAGGTAAGCACTTATCCCACTGAGCCATCACCCTGGCCCCCCATTGTAATTCTCCACATGCACAGCATCTTGTTAAGTTGCCCTGGCTGGCTTTGGAACTGCTATCCTTCTGCCTGAGTCATTAGAATTACTGGCATATACCACTGTGCCTGGTTGACACCTTGTATATAGCTTGTGAACAGATTCCAATTCTGACCTATCCACAACAGTTCTCTTAGGCAGAAGAGGAATCCATCTTTCACTTGATAGATAAGTAATATAAGAAAGGGTTCATAGACACTTTGGGGAGGCTAGGTTAACCTAGTCATAACTTCTGATCATGACCTCTGACTCCTGTCCTTCATAAATTTGATTTTGAGAAACAATGTCTAACCATATAGTGCAGGCTGGCCTCGACGTCACTTCACTATAGTGCAGACTCCCAAGAGTCTGCAATAACTATTTCCTTCTCGAGAGGCAGGTAAGTATTCTTACATGATCCAAGAAAGAACTAAGGCCCCAAAGGGGGAGGTGACTGGCCCAAGTCACACTGTGTGAGCCAGTGACAGGGCTGGGACAGTAGAGCTCAGGTCCCCACTTACCTGCAGCACTGAGAGGTTGGTCTGTCCAGAAAGGCTCAGTTTCTCCTGCTCAGAGGGGTAGGCGTTATAGCGGTGCAGGTATAGCCAGTCCCGGAGGATCTTCACCGACTCCTTGGGCAGGTTTCCTCTGCGCTTCCTCTTGCCTGCCAGGGACAGGAGACCTTCATCCTCACCTAGGTCGCTGTCAGACATGGTGCCTAGGGGTGAGGCTGGACCTCCAGGGAGCCTGGGACAAGGACACAAGGAGGGTATGTTATTACGATGTACTGCCTCTCACCTGCTCCTTGTCTCCAAACACTATTACATCCTAGGACACCAGAAATGGAGGAGTCGAAGTTCAAAGGCTTGGGCTATACTACGGCCTAAGCAAGATACAAGGAAAAGGTCCACAATGTCACCACCATTTCATGGCATGAATAGGTGACTACTGAAAAACCAGCAGGTTGTTCATAAGTAGGAACAGGACTAGAAATTATAGCCACCACTGATTGAAGTCTGGTGTTTTCCATGTTCTTTCCTATGTACAGATGCTTCACATCTATCACTTCATTTAATTCTCATGAATCTTTTTTTTTTTTTTAATGTATTTTATACAGGGTTTCCTCTGCAGATTGGATTGGATTGATTCATAGTGAGTGATCCTCCTGTCTTTGGCCTCCCCAGCGCTGGGATTACAGGTGTATAAACTACTACACCCAGCCTCATTGGCTGGCTCAGCGCACCCAGGGGTGGTGCCAGGGATTGAACCCCGAGTCCCTGCGCTTGTCTAAGCAGGCACTTAGTCCACTAAGCTATCTAGTTGGCCCTTCTCAAGAATCTTGTAAGGTAGAAATTACTTTTATTTTACTGATGAGGAAATGCGATTAAGCTGCCAAAGGGAGTATTATGGTTAATATCAAGTTGCCAAGTGACCCAGCAATTTCACTCCTAGCTATCTACCCCAGAGAAATGTAAACCTGGGTGCACAGAAGACTTTGAACACAAATACTCATCATTATTTGTAATAGACAAATGGTAGAAACAACCAAATATCCATCAGCAGATGATTAGAAAAGCAAAATGTGATCTATCGACACCATGGACTATTATTTAGCTATTAAAAAGTTGAGTCCTAGGGCTGGGGAGATAGCTCAGTAGAATAAGTGCTTGCCTGGCAAGCACAGGGTCCTGAGTTCAATCCCCAGTATGGGGGGCGGGGGGAGTTGAGAAGGGTAGACCTTGTAAACATTATGGTAAGCAAGAGACTAGTCAAAAAACACTTTTTGTTTGTTGTTTGGAGACAGGGTCTCATTGTGTAGCCTAGGGTAGCCTCACACTTGCAGCACTCTTCTTGCCTCAGCCTCCTTAGTGCTGGGATGACACATGTCCTACCATACCAGGCAAGCCCCCATGTTAGACATTTCCACTTATAATGGGACATCCAAAAGAGGTGAATCTATAGATACAAGGTAGAGTAACGGGGAAAAGATATAAGTATGATAGCTAAAATGTGAGGTTTTTTTTCTTTTTTTTTCTTTTTTCTTTTTTGCGGAATCAGGGATTGAATTCAGGACCTTGAGCTTGCCAGGCAACTGATTATTCTACTGAGCTGTCTCCCCAGCCCCAAGTTGTTTTTTTTTTTTTTTTTTTTTTTTTTAGCGGAACCAGGGATCAAACTTAGGACCTTGCACTTGCCAGGCAGGTGTTTATGCCACTGAGCTAGATCCCCAGCCCTGTTTTGTTTTTTTTTTTAAGTTGATAAAAAGTGAAGCAGGATAGCGACCAGGCCAAAAAATTCAAGGATATCTGATCTCCAAATAAAAAGTAAAGGCCAGGTAGGGTGGCAAAGGCCTGTAATCCCAAGGCCACCCCGTACTACATAATGAGGCTATCTCAAAAATAGAAAAAAAAAAAAAAAAAAAAGCAAGTATAGCTCAGTGGTAGAGGTTACCTGGTAAGTCCTTGGTTCAGTCCCCTGGATTATACATAGAAGTGACTGTTATGATTGTACACAGTTGTAAATATATGAAAAAAACCACTGATTCATACACTATAAGTAGGCAAGTTTTATGGTGTGAAGTAAACCACAAAAATATTTAAAAAGACCCCACCTCCAGGGTATATGTTATGGAAGTAGGATTTGGCTTCAGGTACCTGCCTCCTCTCACACACCTGTGGGCTCTACATTACCCTGCCTTCCAGACATCTGAGGCCCAAGAGGAGTCTGGAGACTCTAATCACCACAGCCTTCAGCAACCCCTGTAATATTTGCTGAGCAACCCTGCAGGAAAAAGCAGTGAGTCATTTCTCCTGGTTGTTTCTAAGACCTCCTTGACAGCTTGACCCCAGACTCAACCTCTCAAAATTCATACAGTGAGCAAGACTGGGCTCTGGTCCTACCCTCTACTTGGTCGCTGTGACCCTGGGTAAAGGTCCTCACCTCTGCGTGGTGGAGTGAAGCCCAACACCCCTCACCCACCCAATGTAGGAACTTTTTCCCCCTAGATATGCCAACTCAGCTGCTCATCCCCTTAAGTTCTTGTTCACACAAGCAAAGAAATTTACATTTTAAAAGCAAAAATTCCAGGCCAAGCTGAAGCCAGAATCTGAGGCTCCTCCCTTCTCAGCCTTTTAACAGCTCCCCAGCAGGCTGGGCCAACAGACTCTGGCATCTCTCAGGTTTTGTTTCCTCGACTTGGGCCTGAGGCCAGATCTCTAGGCCAGCTAGCCCAGGCTTTCGAGGGAAGGGTCTACCCTCAGCCAGGCCACCTGGGGGTGAGGCAGGCACTGCTAGGAGGTGCCTCTCCTCAGAGAGCTCAACCAGCAGGTTGCATTTTGAGGTCAGACACTTCAAGCCACCAGGGCTGCTGGGATCTGCACTCTGGGATGTAGCCCTGGAAGTCTGTGAAAAGTTTACTCAAGGTTATCTGTACAAATTCCACCCTGGCTGCCAGCCAGAAGCCAGTCTGCAGGGTTCCATGGGTGGGCCCTGGGGATGACCACTCAGCCTGCAAAATCCTTTCCATCTCAGTGTCCTACACTCCAGATCTGACTGCAGTCAGGCAGATTCCCCACACATACACCCCATGCTCACACACACCCCCACCAAGCAATTTTAACAGCGCTTCGACTCACTCCTCATGCCCTGATTTTCAGGGTCAAACATACAGAACAGCTTAGAATCTCATGCCCATTACCAACAACTGAGACCCATGCAACCAGGCCAATTCCTGCATCCGCCCACCCACGATCTCCTCAAAAGGGGAAGCGCCGGACGTCATCACATCAGCCACCAGTTCTGAGGCAGCAATCCTCCGACACAACACCCCGCGCACCCTCCCACGACGCCACCTGCAGCCACTCCGGCAGAAACTTTCTGACAACTGTCCCAGCTCGGCCGGCACTCCCCCGGGCCGCGCACTGGCGCTCACATTCCCAGCAGTTCACACAAAGCGCACAGCCTCCCCCGCGGGCCAGACCAAGCAGACCACATGGCTCCCCGGGCAGCGAGTGGTCGGCCGACGTTCGGGGCGCCCGCACCCCGACCCACCACCCCGGGGCAGAAAGCGCGCAACAGTTCTGCAGCGGGCCCGCACTCTCAGGAAAGCGAAGGCTCTGGAAGAAAGAAAACTCACGTGTCTCCCGGGGCAGGAAAAAGTTTGGGTCCCACCCCCTTCCCCCGCTGCTCGACGCTAACTCTTCGGGGCGCGGGGCCGGCGGAGCGTGCGCGCTCGGCTTTGTGCTCCCAACTCGGCCCGGAGGGGGAGGGGAGAGGAGGGGGCTGGGCTCCCACCTCCGCACCGCCCCCCCAGTCCTGCGCCTAGACTCCATGTTGGCCGCCCCCGGCCCCTGGGACCGCGCGCCTCCCCAGCTGCAGACTCTACGCCCCCGCTTCGGCCCCTAGGGTCCCCGCCGCACAAACTTTCTTCGGGTCGCCGGCCCCACGCGCCCCGCCGCCTTGGACCGCCCGGGAGTGACAGATGCCTCCGAGACAGACTTTCCTTTGTTCCAAAGGAAAGGGGAACTCGCGCGGGCTCCCCAGCCCTCCCCTCGCCCGGTCCGTCCCGCGGCCCCCACCCCCAGCTGTCACTCCGGTCGGCCCCCTCCCCGGCTCGGCCGCGGGGGGGCCCAGCCGGCGGTTAGCAACGTGCACTTTTGAAACCAAACAAACCCGCCCCCCGCGCGCTCGCCCAGCTCCGGGGCACTGGCGGCCCTCTTCCAGAGTGGGATCCTGCGGAGCTGGGCCCCCCAAAAGGGCCCCGAGCGAGCTTCCTCTGGGGGACTGCCGAAGTCCCCTCACCAGCACTCGGCAGTCGGAGGTCACGAACACAACAGAGCTCACACACCCACAACCGCACGCTCCTGGACGACGCCCCCTCCCCCGCCGGGCCGCGAAAAAGAAACTTTCCAAGTAGTCCGCGCGCCCCCACCCCATCTCCGCCCCTCCGGAGCCCCGCACTGACTTGTCTGGGCGGCTCTCGGGCCCACGCGGCCTCGGGCGGGGTGCGGGGCGTCCGGGCTAGGGGCGGGAGACGCCGGGGGCGCGCGCCGTGTACCTGCCGGGCCTGACACCCGCCTGACAGCTCGCGGCTGGAAAGCACCTCGCGGCCTGACGTCAGATCCCCTCTCCTCCCCTCAGCGCGCGCCTCGCCCTCCCCCACCGCCTGGAGGCAGAAAACAAACTTTGAGTCGAGCGGGGCCAGCTACGCCCACCCCCCGCGGGGAGGGCCGGCTGCGCCCGGGGCTTGGCCACGCCCACCATGGAGGGGGCGGGGCCGCACCTCCTTCCTGCGCCCACCCCCCTCAGGAATGCCACATGGCCTCGAGCGGCGAGCGGTGGGACCTGGCTCGCGCAGCTCGCTCGGGGGCAGGAAGTGGCCCGCTCCTCCTCTCGGAGGGCGTTTCCGGAGCGCCTACTGTGTGCCTATGGATGGGGTGGGGCGTTACTGAGGGAAATAGCGCCAGACCCGGCGTGTTAAGTTTGCTCCTGTCCAGCGTGGTGGGGTAGGAGCTGGGATGGCTCCTGTTGCTTGCGGGGGAAACTGGGGGACACTTAGTCCTGAGACTTAACCTCCAGGTGGCAAGGGACAGCTCAGGATGCGATGGCTCTTCTGTCCAGGACCCGTGGAGTCGGGAAGAAGGCCATCTCCGACAGAACCCCAAGCAGGTATCCCAGTTACGCACTCGAGAGGCGATGGTCACTGGCGGCGCTTAGGGAGCGTTGATGACGCAGCCGGACTGTGCCCGCGCTTCGTGGGTATCGTCCCGTGCGGTTCTCTGGTTCTCGCGTAGGTGCTGGCGGAGTCCGTGTCACCTACCCCGGTGGGTCTGACAGCGGAGCCCAAGCTTTCCCCATGGCGGCTGGTCCTGGACAGAAGCAGAAGTCAGGTGGGAGCTCATAGCGACCTGCCTGGTTTCTCTTTTCTCTTCTACCCGCAATGTCCCGCACTTTCTTTTTCCTCCACTCTGGGAATTCCTGGCGACACAGAAAAAATAAATAAATAAATAAATAAATAAAAACCAAAAAATAAAAAAGTACAAACCAACCTAGGAAGGTCTATTCTGGCCCTGTTTCCTCTAGGCTCAGATGTCTCGGATCTCATGCTTGGAAATCAACAGCCTTGAATGCAACTTTTGGTTTATTTTTCCGATTTTTGAGACATGGTCTCCACTCTTTATCCCAGACTGGCCTTGAACTCTTAGCAATCCTTTTGTCTAAGCAAGTGCTTGGACTAGGTGAGCACACCACACCCAGTTCGTTCGTTCTTTCTTTTCTTCTTTCTTTTTAACGGAACTGGGGATTGAACTCTTTAATGTTTTTGTAGGCTGGGTCAAGCTATGTTGCCCAAGATGGTCTTGAACTCCTGAGCTCAGATGACACAAGCAGTGTGTAGGCAGTTCAGCTTTGGTCTTTTTTTTTTTTTTTTGCGGAACCGGAGATTGAACTCAGGAGCTTATTTTACTGAGCTATTTCCCGGCCCCTCAGCTTTGGTCTTTTTGCTGTTTTTAGACAGGGCTTTGCTGTACAGTAGCTTCCCCAGGAACTCTGGCTTCCCCAGCCTCAGCCTCCTATAATCAGTCCAGTGTTGGAAATACAGGTGTGTGCTGTGTCCTCATGGTCAGCTTTAGCTTTTGGTCTTACTTGCACTTCAGCAGCTAAAAGCTAGGAACAGGTCAATTTTTTGTTTCTCCAAACAAGCCCAAAACAATTGGGATGCTGATTAAAATAAGTTTCACCAGGATTCCACAAAAGGGTGCCGGGGAGATGGGGAGATGGCTCAGTAAAGGTCTGAGTTCAATCCCCAGTTCCGCAAAAAAAAAAAAAAAAAAAAAAAATCCACAAAAGTCAGCTTTCTTTACAAGTTGAGCACGCTGGTGTCCCTTCAAAATGTCAATGATACTGATAGGTCCTCCCTGTTGCACATACAGGGAAGCTGAGGCCCAGAGTGGCAGCATTTATTTTTAGTACCGGGAATTGAACTCAGAACCTGGTACTTGCCAGGAAAGTGCTGTGCTGCTGAACCTCTGAGCTCTTAAGTCCCTGGCCCCAGCCATAATTTCTTGGCCGAGTGGTGCTGTGGGCACAGTTCCTG